AAAAAAAAAAAGAAAAAAAATTTAATTGGGTCAACCCATGGGTTGACTTGTGACTCATTTTGACCTGACTCTAACCTAACCCAACCTGCTCATTTTCCAGGTTTACCCATGGCTTTTTTTATTTGGATTTTCCACAAAAATTTTTGGTGTTCTCTTTATTTTTCTTGCTTTACTTAACCTATTTTTGATGATTGATTGCGTTTATTGATTGCTTTGATTCTGAACATTAAACCTTGAAAATCACAACACACCTCAATTATAAAATGCAGAAGTTTTTGATGTGTTAAAATTTTGTTGGGTAAGATGTGGATGAAGTGGACAAAAATAGTGCATAGAGGAATCACTATAATGTAGCATAATTATTTCCTTTGTGGGGTCGACGGTTTGTGTTTACATTTTATATGAGTTGTACTCTGTATCTTGCTCCTTTTGTCTCTATGCCAATTGTCCTTTTTGCCTAGTAAAGTAAAATTGTTTGCCTTAATTAATTGGAGATCTTGTGGAAGTACTGCTCGTGAAGAATTTTTCATAAATGTTAAATTATGAATTATAAAATTATAGATAAAAATGTTATAATTATAATATTATATAATTTTAAAAATTTATAATAAAATGTGTTGTATAATTAACTTTTTTATTTAAAAATTTATAATAAAATGTGTTGTATAATTAATTTTTTTATTTAAAAATTTATTTGTAATATTATATATATTTGTTTAATATAAGATTATATTTATTTAAAATTATTTTGATTATAAATTTATAATTTTATATAATATTATAATTATAATATTATCAAATTATAAATAAAAAATATTAAAAAATTTTCAAAATTTTAAAATTAATGTAAAAAGCGGGTATTTTCACCTCTACTACTGGGGTTCAACCCCCTTATTCTCATTCCCCCTCCCTTGCCCCAATTTCCCTAGTTCATCTATTCAAAGTCCAAACGGGCATCTTTTCTAGTACCTAGCGGGTTTTGGCAAAAGGCTATTTTTAGCTCCTCACCTTGTCAAATTTGAAGGTTTTAGTCATTTATCTTATATTATGATATTTTAACTATTCATCTTACTAGATTTGTAGGTTTTAACCTTTCACTTTATATCATGATACTTTTACCCCCCTCATCTATTAAAATTGAAGAAAATAGCCCTCATTTTTTAACATTTTGTTAGTTTGTTAGCTGATTATTAATTTCATTAGTTGACTGTTAATTGATTATTAGCTGTTAAAAACATTCTTTTAACTAATAGAGTTAACAAAACTAATTTTATAATATTTCATTAATTCTGTTAATTGACTATTAGTTTACTGTTAATTGATGAAAATCTACTTTCAACTAACAGAGTTAACAGTCAATATAATGTGAGGGCTATTTTCTTTAATTTTAATAGGTGAGGGGTTAAAACCTACAAATCTAGTAAGATAGGGGTTAAAAGTGTCATAATATAAGGTAATAAATTAAAACCTTCAAATTTAGTAAGGTGATGGGTTAAAAATAAGTTTTTGCCGCGGGTTTTGGGCAAAATTTGAAAGGCAATGGTTTAAGAAACAAATTTTAAATAGTTTTTATAAATTAATTTAATTTAGAGTTTTGAATATTTATTTTAAATTTTATATTTAATAAATTGATAATTTTAATTTTTAAGTTTAGATTTAATTATTAATTTTAATTATTTAAAATTTTAAAATTAAAATTCAAAATTTAAAATCACAATTATACTAAACAAAGCCTAAGTAAGTTAAATGTTTTCTAAACTTGCTTAATTAAATTTTAACAACTAATTATTAATTTTAAAAAAATTTAGATTAATGAAAAAAATTATTTTTAAAACAAATATTTTTTAAGTTTTTCCAAACACCTTCTTAAATAATGATAATAAGGATCTATTTGGTTAAAGTGCTATTTTATTTAAAAAGTTTTTATTAAAAAAGTGGTTAAAAAATATTATATGAAAAATTG